CCGCCTAGCAGTCCCTAGTATATATTAATACTAAAGATTGTCTACGCGTTGCGTGGATTTAAAAATCAACATGATAAAATATCCAATAATTTTAGCTTATTGATTATTTGTGTATTTAATATTACAAAAAATATTGTTGTAGTAAATTATCTAAGTTAGAAGATTAAACATTTGGAGCAAATTGCTAGACATATACAATGTTATATGTGAAGAGAAATAGACTTACCATTAATAAAAATTACAGCGTATGCTTTAATAAAAAAGTATAGTTCAAAATTAAATATGTTATTGTGAACTTTTAACGATTTAAAAAAAAATATTTATTTATTAAACACAATAATATACAATAAAAAAAATATTTAAAACTTTAGATATGTAACTACTATGTTAATACAAAAAGTCACATAAAATTTTTTATAAAAAAAAATCGTTACATTAACTCAATAAATGGTGTGAGAAAATTAATTATGAATTTTATCTTTCACATCGATTCATTGGTAAATTATTATGTTTTTTGTTTATTCACAATTTGTGGTGGAGTAAATTTTTCTTCCCAAAATCTTGGTTAGGACATGATTGACAACTTTAACATTCTAACAACATTAAAATTCTTAAAATCACTAACTAATTTTCTCAAACCATTTTTTTTTGTTAAGATTCTTTTTATTAAAAATTTTTGTGACTTTATTTTTGTGACTTTTTGTTTTAAAATAGTAGTTATCTCTCTAAAGTTTTATAAGTTTCTTATAGTATATTGTTGTGTTTAATAAATAAATATATATTTTTGAAACCGTTAAAAGTTCATAATAACACATTTAATTGAGAATTATAGTTTTTGGTGGATATTAAAAAAAAAGATAATGGTTAAAGTATTATCGGTTCATTGGCTTATTATATTGAAATTGGTCATTCTTATGTTACACTTTAATATTCGGAATTAATTTATATTAAATTTAGCTATTAAATTGTAAAAATTAATTGTTAAAAAACATTTAGTTTGTTTTTAATAAAAAAATAAATAAAAAGAGTAGATGACACATGGAATATGTTTTGATTTGGAAAAACTTTAAAATATTATATGAGATTTGTATCCGGATTCAAGTCAATGAATGAATTAAATGTTAGACGTATTTTAACTGGAAAATCTTATAACCTAAAAAAATATAATACCACTAAGGAAATAAAATATTCTTTGAACGAATCTAATAAAATAAAATGAAATGAGCGGGTAAAAGGAAAAAAAATATCGGGAAAAATAAATAAAAATTAGGTCGAAAAAAGAGTAGTTGGTGGAGGCGGTAGGCTTTTACAATTAGTGAAACCCAAAAAAAAAAAAGTAAACTTGAACGAGTCAACTCACCGATTCGACTTATTGAGTCAAGCATAAAAATAAATACACACAGATTAACTCGCTCAAGCTTTTTTTTTTTTAGGTCAAGTTGCATTTTTTTGTGTATTTTCTTCTTCTGTGTTCTCTCAGTTTTCTTTTCAATTGGGTCACTCGAGACTCTAGAGAGAGAGAGATTAAGCCTTTTTTTTTTTTTTACCAAAATTGGTTTCAGATCTGAAAAAGGGTCTCAGTATGAAATGTATCGGATTCTCCGGCGTCGTTTCATGATCTGACTCTGGTCCCTCATTTTATCTTCTTTACTTTCGTCACTGTTGAATAATTTCTGTCACGCTTTTTCTTCTCCACAAGCTTCTTTTCTCTCATCCATTTATTCAACACAAATCATCTGGTAATTTTGCTCTCTCTTTCTCCCTCTGTAACTCTTTCTTTGATTTCGCTGCAAAATTGAGGAATCTGGTTGTTGGGTCTCTGAATCTTTGGTTTCTGAATTGAGATTTTGTCTTAATTTGTACAAATCGAGTCAAAGATGTGTTCTTTAGGTTTTGGGTACTGCAAAATCAAGTCAAAGATGTGTTCTTTAGGTTTTGGGTACTGTAAAATTGAGTGAGAAATAGTAATAAAGGTGCCATTTTTTGTTGCTTATATTCCAATGAAGACTTGTGAATTTGGGATCTTGGAGACTGTAAGAGAGTGTTTTTATTGTTTGGTCTTGTAGAAATCTGTATCTAGTCATGGTTTTTTGCGATGTATGTCAGTGAAAATTGACATTAGATACTGCTCAGATTGTGTTTCTGTCAGATTTGTTGTGAATTTTAGGAGAAAAAGCTGAAATTTGTTTCCTTCTTCTGATTGTAAATTTGACTTTGGTAGAAGACAATGAGTGGACTTCATTAGATGTGGAAACATGTGTAGTTTTTACTTGAAAGAGTTTAGCTTGAAACTATGGCTAATAACTTGACTTTGACTAGGATTTTAACAAGACAAATCTCTGTTTTTGTGTGCTTATGGATGCTTGTTAATTCAAAACTATAGCATGTTTGAGATATGTCGGGTTATAATTTTACAAGCAAAAACTAAGTGGCAGGAGTTTGTTGATCCTTACTCCATTTGGTTTTCAGATACAAAGGCATTTCTTACTTTTGGTTACTACATTTTCGATTTATCACTGCTCTCGGAGATCAACTACCATTCAAGTGCACGTATGAATATGGATTCTGCACACAATCCGTTCAACAAACGTGCTCGATTGTTTGAAGACCCTGAAGACAAAGATGCTGAGGTTATTTATCCATCGATCCCTGAATCTACGGAACCGCTGAATAAAGGTTACGGTGATTCTACAACCATCCAAAGCTTGTTTGTAGAATCTAAACCTGAAGCAACACCTAAAGTACTT